GTGAATATTAATGTTAACTCGATTACGAATATTTCCAGAGCCAAAATCATCAGTCTGCGATGCTCTGGGTGTGGAAAATCTGGCCACAACAATAAAGATTGCTACAGAAATTAGCCACGGGAAAATCCATATACAGGTCAACAACAACAAATTTGTAGAGACTACAATAGAGGGCGCTGTTTTGATCCAAGCCAAAATGGCAGCCTTCCAAAAATGCAACCTGTGTTATTCCACTGATCATCCCGTAACAACTCATCAAACCCAAGACAAGCAGTTCTTTCGTACAAATCACAACCAGGTCGGTTAGCAATGAAGCTTCACACCACAGTCATTTCGCGGGAATGATAAAACCCACTAGCATGGTTTCTTTGCTGTACATGTATCTGACAACATCACTCAAACAAGAAGTCTTCTCCGACAAACTCCATGATCATCCAAAAAAAACAAGTCGTCGCTTCAATATTGTTAGACATTTCCAGAGGTACGGATTTGTGCTTCACAGGTCCTGAACACAGTCATGAAACGATCCACAAACAATCACTGCAGCAATTTTAAAAGAGCTCAAAGCAGGACATGCCATAGGTCCATTCTGGAAACCCTCCCCCTTTCCAAATTTTGTTGTGAACTCCTTGGGTTTACAACTAAAAAAGAATGGAGGGCATCGTATTATAATGCACAGCCAATAATGGCAATATTAACAAAGAAGAATTCTCACTCCATTATGCAACTGTTGATGATGCTGTGAAAATGATCAACCAACTTGGGCAATACAATCTACATTCTCACACGTCTAAAAAACAACGATTGTAATGATGTTCTGTCCAACCGCTTTTCAGCCGCTTTTTCTGCAATCACAGCACATACTCTAGCATCCCTAGACGTTCCGTCCATCATTCCTTGAATATTCGATTCTCTCCAAACAGATATCAGTAATCTTGTTTCTTCGTCTGACCAGTTTGACATTCGAACTGTAACCTCTGACGCCATCTTGTTTAATGACAAGCATAAATAGGTCGCCGATAGAGGGCGTTTGGCCGTGCGACGTGGAGACTGGCACTTGCTAGGCTACAAATGAGATAGTTTTTATTTTTGTGACTGTGTGTTAACTTTCGGGCTTCGTTCAGCGCCTTTTTTATTTAATCGAATTGCCGAAGCCATTAACTGGATTGTGTGCAATTGTTCCAAAAATAACAATATTCTTCATTATATGAATGATTACCTCATTGCAGGGCCACCTAACTCTCAAACATGTGCGGACAGTCTTGGTGTCCCTATCGCACCAGACAAGCTACAGGGTCCTACAACTGTACTAACTAGACACTGTGAACATGGTTATGCGATTGCCAACTAACAAACTGTATGATATAAACCATATCACCCAGAAATGGACTTCCATAACAGTATGCACCAAACGTGAACTATTGTCCTTAATTGGCACACTTAGTTTTGCATGTAAATGTGTACCAGTTGGGCGAATCTTTTTGAGATGTATGATCGACCTGGCATCTACATCTGCCTCACTCCATCGCACATTGGGCTAATGAAATTACAAATGAAAACAATTACTTGGAGCAAGCATGCAACCACTTTTACCGGTTTATTTTAGGTGTTAGTAAAGTGACACCATTGATTGGCATAAGAGGCGAAATTGGTAGAATTCCTATAAGGATTAAGGCAACTTTATCGCTAATTAAATATTAGCACAGATTGTCATTGTTACCTGAAAATCATATTCTAAAAAGTGCACTTAAAGAAACAGTGTCCTCAAACTCAAGCTGGATAAAACATGTTAAAACAATTCTTGGACATGCTGACTTATCTGAAGTAAATAAAATATATAAAGTGGGAAACATCGCTGAATTAACAAAATTGTTGGAAGAAAAATTAAAAAATAAATATATACAAACATGGTATCAGCAACTTAGTCATGTCCCAAAAAACGGAAAATCAGGAAACAAACTAAGAACGTATAATTTGTTTAAAATAGAATATGAATTTGAAGGATATTTAACAGAAATTCAGGACTTCAATTTGAAAAGAATGGTTACCAAGTTTAGACTTAGTGACCATAATTTGGAAATTGAATTGGCAGGAGAAAATTTCCAAGAATGGAGGCAAATTACAGATTGTGTAAAAAAAGCAACACAGGTACTGTAGAAGATGAAAAACATTTCATCCTTGACTGTTGCTTCTTCACTCAAGAAAAAAATACCCTCTTAGACCACCCCAAAAAAAGTTTTAAAAAGTTGTTTTTGTGATCATATGATAAGGTCAAATAAAGGAATGCTTTCGTACACTTTGTACACGAACTTATTTCTTGATTTATGCAAGGTTTCAATAAACGTGAGCACTCGGTCAAGAACTGTGGGAACACTAAGACACAGGGTCGAATTTCAAGAATAAAACTTGTTTTATTTTCAGCGAATGAAGTTGTATTACTCACTGAAATTGGCTACAAAGTATGGTAAGTATTGTAATCAATGCACGGTTACTTTTTTAGTACCGGTAACCATGATCAGTGCAAGTCGAAACAGCCGGGGAAAAACTACCGCTTGTAATCCAAGATGGCGATGACCTCATTAGCATAATTTTGTTCACGCACGTATTGATACATCGCATCGTAATTACTGAAGAATAGCAGACAGGATATGAACAAATAAACCTTTTATTACTGATGTGAAATGTTTACAAACTATTGTGAATA